TGAATTCCCCAGAGAGTCTGCCTTGAGAGTAAAGCTACTTGTCTTGAGTAGTCTTGCAGCCACTTCCGCTGGAACTGCACATAAGCATCTGGTCCCTGAGCTCAGACTTCGTGACTGTGCAGCCTACTGAAAAATTAGAACAAAGATGTGCTGATTAATACTCCCTAAAAGAGCAGCAGGTTGGAAATGAGTTTGGGGATTTGATTTCATTTCAAGATTTCATGAGGATCGTGGCCTAGCATTTTGCCTGGGGCCATTTTGTATTCCCCAGGTCCTGTGCTGTAGGTATCCGTGCCGACCTAAGACAGCTTTGTCCTGAGTCTCACAGGCTTGTGGCTAATGAGAAGCTTTTCAGTCAAGTGTCTGCCTAATGCTCAAAAGCAGTTGTGCCCAAGCTTTTCCCACTAAAGATCTTTTTTAGGGCTTGAAGTGATTTGAATTCTATTTGTAATATAGTGTTTATTATTTGCTTTTTTTATTACATTCAAATAATAAAAAGCAGAATAAAGAATATATTACTTATCAGAGTATAACAACCTTTCATTCTTAAATGGGCCCCATGAACGAATCAGTGGGAACTCCGTAGGACTGGAGGCCAAGGCTTGTGATCTTACCCTGGCTGTCTTACTTGAGATACTGGTCTCATTAAGGTCTCTGGCTGAGGTCGCTGTTTATCTCCCCCAACACCTTTTATCACATTTAGTACATAGGGGGTGCAGTTGAAGGTCTAAGAGTTTCCAGGTTTGTAAATAAGGCGTTGTGAAGTACGCCTGCCCCTCCTTCATAGATCTCCATCATCCTCTGCCACGGCTGGTCTCCCCGTGCACTGGTTCTTTCTGTAGCTGTACTGTATGCTCCTGGAAAGCACAGACTGGGTCCTGCTCATATTTTAATATCCATGGATAATAAACCTAAACATAAAGCTTCTAGAAGAAAACACAGGAAAATATCTTTGAGACCTTGGGCAAATGTTTCTTAGAAAAGGACACATAAAACACTAACCCTAAAAGAAAAAAATTGATAAATTGAGCTATATCACAATGAAATGTTTCTGCTAATCAAAAGATTCCCTCAGGAAAATAAATTGGCAACATACCAAGGAAAGATATTTGCAAAACATACATGACTAAGGACTTACATTCAGAATATATAAAGAACTCCTACAAGTCAATAATAAACGATCTAATTTTTAAAACTGTGAGAAGATTTGAATAAACACTTCACAAGGGAAGATATACAAGTGGCCAGTAATCATACAAAAAAAAATGTTCAACACCATCAGTTATCAGGGAAATGCAAATTAAAGCCACCAGAATGGCTAAAGTTAAAAAGACCAACCACATCCAACATTAGTGACTGTGGGATGTGATGGCAATTCCCACACATCTCTGGTGAGCGTGAAGTGACACCACCACTCTAGAAAATGTTTGGTGGCCTGCGAGGTGGCCGAGAGTTGCCATGCATGCAAGTGATGCAGGAGAGAGAGCTGGCGTCATGGGGCCCAATCCCACACATCTCTGGTGAGCGTGAAGTGACACCACCACTCTAGAAAATGTTTGGTGGCCTGTGAGGTGGCCGAGAGTTGCCATGCATGCAAGTGATGCAGGAGAGAGAGCTGGCGTCATGGGGCCCAATCATGGGGTGGTGAGAATCGGGGAGTGAAGCACAGCTCTCAGCTGTGGCATCAAGACAAGCCCCTGAAGAGTGTGCCGTGGACCGTGGGCGAAAGAGGAGCCCTTCAGGCTGAGGGAGAGCAGAGCTGTGTACCCTGCACATCTTCACCCTGTTGGCTAAAGTAGAGTCTGCTCTTTCCCTGTTATCCTAGATCATAGTGTGTGTTGCTGCACTTAGAGCGGTTATTTTATTTCTCTGTGCACCGGTGTATTGTCATCTTCCCCACTGATTCCAAGCCAGGAGGACTAGACTGTCACTGGTGTGGAGACCCCTGAGAGCAGGGGTCTTGGCCTGTTTTGGTCAGTGTTGTGTCCCCAGCCATAATAGTGGCTGGCCCAGAGTCTGTATTCAGTAAACACGTGTTGAGAAGAAAGAATTTGAGCTGTGCAGTTTGGCTGATGACAGGTAGGCAGTGGGACTTTGAGTTACCAGGGCAGCTTGGAGCTAACTCACGAGCACCTGGTGTGCCCATGAAGGCATTCGGGTCTCATTTTACAGGAATGAAGGGTTCCTGAGTGGTTTTGAGATGGGAGTTGTCTCAGTCCATTCAGGTTGCTGTAACAAAATACCAAAGACCAGGTGGCTTATGAACAACAGAAAAATTTTTTTTCCATTCAGATTCAGTGCTTAATTTTTTTTTATTGAAATGTATTGAGTATACGTATTTGTGGGGTACAGAGTTTGAATATCAATACATGTATACAGTGTGTGATGAGAAAAACAGAAATTTATTTCTCACAGTTCTGGAAACTGGAAGTGCATGATCAAGGCACTGGTAGATTTTGTGTCTGTCTTTTCACTGTGTCCTCACATGGTGGAAGGGGTGAGGGACGTCTCTCTGGGGTCTCTTTCATAAGGGCACTAATCCCACTGATAAGGGTGTACCCTCACGACCTGAGTACCTCC